TGCTCATGCTAACTACACAGTTTTTTGTTCCTGCTTCAGGAAATGTAAATCATGTGTTTAACTGACGCATCCCTGTTTGGTCACTCAGCAATATTTCTGTTAATGGATTTTTATTAGACTTCAATAAAGGACTCAGATGTTGCTACCTGAAAGAAGGCCTCCACGTGCTGTTTAGGTGCATCATTTTTCAAGACGGGGTAAGTGTACTTTCCCATCATGTCATATATCGCTCTGACGATATCTGTCATCTCCTGTGAAACACAACAACAGTACACACACACACACACAAAGTGATATTTGATTATCATCAATTGAGATTATCATACAAATACAAACACAATGGGCATATAAGCACAATTTGAAGCTTAGGGCATACACACACACGGTCACACACCTCTTTGTTGATGTATCCGTCTCTGTTGATATCATAAAGATTGAAGGTCCACTGTAGCTTCTCAGTGACAGAGCCCCTCAGCAGGATGGACAGAGCTGTCACAAAGTCCTGATGGAGAGAAAGAGGACATAATGAAAAACTGAGAAGGAAATAAAAACAAGAATTTTATTTAAATAGGAACTTTTCAAAGCCCAAGGATTAATGTGCACAAATCAAGCAAACCTCAAATTTTATGGAGCCGGTATGTGCTGAGTCAAATGCATTGAACAGGAAGTGTGCGTAGGTGCTGGCATCTGTAGGAGAAGAAGAAACGCTTGTCAGTACACTGGCTAAAAACAATAAAGACAAAGTATAGATGCCAAAAGCACAACACACACTCTCTCTCTTTACCTCCATGTGGGAAGAATTGGGAATATATTTGCTTGAAAGTTTCCTCGTTTACGATGCCACTTGGACACTCCTGGAGAGAGAGAGGGAGACAGAAAGAGAGGGTGAGGAGGTAGGAGACAGAACTCGCAGATAACAAAATAGAGGTGAGAGACTGATGGAGGGTTTACCAGAGTGGAGAAAGTGTGATGGAATAAATTAAAGGATTACAAAAAAGTTGACAGGAGACTGGTTATTAGTTAAACCTCAATGTGATATTGTGTAAAATCAACAGAAGTACAACAGACTACAGTTGCAAATTCTGACCTTCTATCCAAGGTGTCACTACTGAGTCTAGTTTTTACATACAGCTTTAATTTAGCTGGCAAAACAAACAAAAATAATCTATCTGCCCCTGATTTTACTCTGATTTAACAACATAAAAGTATACTTAAATTCTTAGATCTCAGAGTTACAATGAAATGAAAAATAAAATACCAATACAACCAAAAACAAACCAGTATAGTAATTTAACACATTAATATAGATACATTTTTCGACATATCATTTATTTATCTGTTATGGCCACATTTTAGACAATAGGCAATAGGCTTAAGTTCAATGAAAACATACATGTATTTGGAATAATATCTAAAGATTTGGATATAAGACAATTTATTGATTTCTAATGCCACCTTTAGATATTTCTGTTCAATGCCTTACTCATAAAACCACAATAATGTTATATTTTTGAGTTAATATATCTTCATATGGGGGCTTTTCCAAGTAAATATTGATACATGTGTTTGCGATTAAATCAACATGTATTTCTGCCAACCCTTGAAGTCTCCATGCCATCCTTGGTCACCCCATGCATATCCCTTTAAATCCGCCCCTGAATATAAATATACATTTGTAATCTTATTTAGGTCTAAGCTGGTTTACTGCACAAGCCAGGATGAGACAGAAGGATTCAAGCTGGTAAATCTTTTTATTCACAAATGAATATATTCAAACATAATTCAGAATTCTTGGCTGAAGTAATCTGTATTCTTTTAAGCCAATCTCTTGGTTTCTTTGCTCAGAAGAAATACATTTTGCTCACCTGGCTCCTGTACAAGTGTGCAAATCCCCAGTGCACACATAAGAAAATCTGACTCCTTACATTAGGTTTATTCCACAGGTCATTACTAGAGGAAGCACTTTCGGTATCTACTATCTTCCATCTATGAGGGGGACAAATCTCTCAAAAGAACTAAAACTCTGGTCTATTCCTTGGCAACTGTACAGTCACTTACATTCTTAAAGCCCCGGTAGAGCACTTGGAGCTCTCTTTTGCTGAAGTTGGTCTGAGCTTCTAGCTGGTCGAGGCCCTCCGGTCGATGGCACACCATCGTCATCTCCAAGTCATCGTCAGCTCTGTCTGAAGAAACACATACACACAATATTCCTTAACATAACTTAAACATAACATACTACAAAAGAGTGAGATAGCAAAAGAAAGGAATGATACATGATCCAAGTAATACAGAAAAGAAGGAAGTAGATATATGACCAGTTAAGGGGACACAGTGAAATAATCTGCACAGGTCAAGTTTGAAATATTCTCTATTTATTCTATTTGGCAGAAATAAAAAGGGAAGCAGGGGAGACGATAAGAGGTAGAGGTCAGTCTAACAGCTCGATGTTCCTCCCCTCACCGGCCCTTTGATTAACAACTCATTACTCTCCTCGCTGAAGGGGAGGGGAGAGAGGACAAACCATGGACTCTGAGACCACACACACACACACTTATAGTGCCAATAGGTGAACATGACAGCTCCCCTCTCTCCATCATAGACTACACACTCCCTACATACTCCCTCAAGCAATCTACAATGTAATAATTATGCATACTGTTATAACTGTGCATAATTTAATAGAAATAGTAATACATATTCAGAATATGATAAAGTGGTCATAATGTGAAGTAGTAAAACACTAGACTGAGATAAAAAAAACTTACTGGTGGTTAAGTAATAAGATGGTGCGTTTTATGAACGCTATTTCAGAATAATGTCTGTCTGATTGTCCATCGTCCCCTGTCCAGCTGAGTTTGTCACATGGTACTTTTAGGTGGAGTGTATGAGAAAGGTCATCATGTTCTCTTGCTTCATTATAGTTGAAAATAAAATCATACAGTGGATGATAGATAGGTAACTTTAAAAAATATATACAGTAGGCCTATGTCTTCATTTCTGTGAACTAACTAGAACTAGAACTAAGAACTAAATTAAAAGAAAATAGAGAATACAAAATTTTGATTATTATTTAAGATACAGACTTTAAACCATCTCACAGGATAAGAGCACGGTGAAGACCTGAACACAATTTTCACAGAGCCTTCACTCTTTGCTAAACAGCCAAAAATGAGAAACTCCTCTCTGATGCAATATTCACAGGAAATAATCTGCTCAAAATTCATCCAAATCCCTCGTTTGACACAAACTTCCTGCAGTTATTCCATTCACTGTTTAGGTTATTTGTTCAGCTTATCAGTTTGTCTGCACTGTTCTTGTTATGCATTAAATATAATATGAAATATCCATTAAATATGTCACTTAGTCAGGGGTCTTCAGTTTATACAATGATAGAAAATGGGTCCACTGCTCTAATGCGTCCTTGTAATATGAATGTTTTGGAGAATAGTCTGTTGGACACATTTAGACTCTGTGTGTCAGTGCAGATTGTTGCCTGTGTAGACTCTAATTATTTGTAATAGCTGACTTCCCATCCAATGGACTGCATGGTGATCAAGTGCAATTTCCCCAGTCTTTTTAGCATTTACATGCAAAGTACAGTCATCACACCAGTCCACAGTACTGACAATATCTGATTTATCACTGCTTACTCCAAAATCAGTCACATTATTGCCATATTATCAGAGAATTTAAGCAGACAGTGGTTTGAATGGGTGCTGGTACAGTCAATGACAATGGTTGAGCTAAAGCATTTTAAGGGTTCCTGTTCGGCTTTAATGAAGTGTCACAGAGTGCAACGCTCACACTGTCCTTGGCAATCCAGATTTTGAGAACATCGACAGTTTTGAAATAGAAACATTTTATCTGTGAGGCGAGACCATTAGTGCTTTGCAAAGCTTCATTACACCTCTTCAGTCCTATTGTCCCTGTGAATCATGGGCACCACGTCGGCATTTTTATTGTGCCAGGCAAAGACAACTTCATCTCACTGCTAAATTAAACCTTAGTCAACAGTCTAACCTCTTTACATTCAGTGGTCCCATTTAACACATATGCAGGCTTTTGTGTGTAAATAACTACATAGAAGTGCTGCCATCGTGGTTTAAGAGCAAAAGATTGGATTTAAATGTCAGTTACATCCATTTGAACCACTAAATCTAAACTTCCCTCAATATGGCACTATGGATACTCTAAATGTTAAACTAATTTTAAACTGTAATAGTCAACATAAAATACAATCATATATAAAGTTATCCAGTAAGAGCTTATTACACTGTGCCCACTAATTTTCTACATTATGGGTGCATTATTACATTATGACTTTGTAGAGTTGCTAAGCAGTCTCTCTTTATATAGCTCCTTTCCCCTGCCACACATGCACAAACACGCACACACACAGCCCCTGCAGGCCATTCGTTTCATCACCCAGGCAGTTCCGTCTTTCTCTGTGTCACATTAGGGTGGAGGTTCACACTCATGCCCAAGGTGAGATTATTCACACCCGATTCCCAGTGGTCTTCAGGTGTATCCTACTGTGTACTCTCTCACACACACACACACACACACACACACACACACACACCAAATCAGATAGATAAATAACACATACCAGAAAAGTGTGATGCACATGTGCTTGTAAATTCACTCAACATACTCCTGACATGATGCTCACAAGTAAATCAACATCACACTAGCACCTGTATTTTTGGTATCAATATTATATCCATTCACGCACCTACACAGTTGAAGAATATGCATTCTTCTGAAAGGCTTCACTGCAATTCTGACTCTACTGTCCATGTTAAAACCTTTATGGCACGTGCACAGTCACCGTCACACCCCATGCTTGCGCTATAAACGACCACAGCACAGGACATCCTATCTCAAAGCACAATGCATAGTTATGCCTCTTAAAGAAGAAACAATCTTTGTTGTGTTGTAAATCAGCATATATTAGCATGTGCTTTGTAATGCATCTAATAGGGTGACATTATTAGGATACTTTGCACAAACAAACAAAAATGAAGAATGCACAAACATGTAGAACGACTACAGTAATACACTGGAAAAACTGACTTGACTTAATTAATAACACAAGTGTGAGAGTCAGGATCAGTTAGTATTCAGGTTTTAAACTGTTTTCTACAACTTCAGTTAGTCAATTTTTCTAAAATACTTAAGACTAAACTTATGAGAAAACTTTTCACATACACACATTGTGAACAGAAAGCAATTACTTTCTCCACATGGCAGCCTATTTCTTCCTCTTGTATTCTAATTACTGAAAAAGCCAATGTTAGCAGAGCAAGGACATTTCAGCAAGTAAAGATAGGCTATTTAAGCATGCAGCTGTATAAGCAGGCATATGCATTTACAGTAAATTAGACTGTTTAAAAGTATGCATACATAATAATGTACATGAATGTTAATACATTAATATACATTAACTTAAGCTCTCTAATTTAGATGCTGTGGACTTAATCAAATCATCCAGGAAAGGTAAAGTAATGATAAGAATAAGACCAATTATCACGATTAACCCATTTAGATTTTTATTTAATCATGGCTTTCAGTTAGTTGTAGCTGTATTAAGCTTAGTTTTACTGGATAACATCAGATGTTGTAACAGCAATGATAATTGAATATTGGAGAATTATTATCAGCAGACAAACCAATGGGACAGCCAGCCATAGCAGATTACATGAATATCAAAAGTAGCAGAGAATAAAAAATACACAAACCCTGTACAGCAACAATACTATGAGTAATTAATAGCAATAGTTCAGAATTCAGTAATACAGTACATGTGGTTGAGAGTGCAAATCCCCACCAGTGCTGAACACTTCAACAGTCTGCAGCTTCTAACACTTCTCACTCTTTTAATGTATTTTTTCCCTTCGATTTTCTGAGAAAGTAGCAGTTGGATCCCACACATCTAACATTCCCACGTGAATAATCCAGATCTCTCCTTTTTCCCAATAACTTGCTCACAGACAGCAGTGAAAACAAAACTCCTGCCCTCCTCTTCCTCAGGTTAGTACTAGATTACACTGATAGTAGTTGTAGTACTGACTCACCCTCTACAGTGATGACTCCCAGTAGGTGCAGCATTTTGACGGCCCCACAGCACAGCAGGATGATGGCTATAGTGTGTAAGCTGTTCTCACTCTGCTCCTCTTTTTCCATTTTGATTACTTCTTTCTTTCCAACTCTCCTGTTATTCCTTTACTTCTTCCACCAAACCTTTAAACTTTCAGACTTGCTATAGCTTTTCACCATTTGCGACTCAATTCTAACTGGAGTTGGCTGTTCCCTCTCTGTCTCATGCCTGTAAAGTTTCTATCCATACTGCTTCCTCCTACAGTGCGATCAGCACTCACCTGCCTCTCTCTATCTTTGTCTTTTTATCCCCCCGTCTCTCTATTCCCTGGGGCAACTCCCTCTCTTATCCTGACCTTCGCTCCATCCCACTAACTCTCTCTGCCTCTGTCCCCCCGCAACCCTACTCCCCCCTCTGTTACAGTCACTGTGTCCTTCACTCTTTGGGAACCAGGCTTCAACTCGAGGGTCCAACCAGAGAACGCTATAACAATGATAAACTCACCTTCTACTGTATGACCATATGTGCTTGTGTTGTGACTGTGCACGCGTGTGTGCATGTGTGTGTGTGTGCTCATGAGCAGATCAGCACTTGATTAATTGGCCCCATTAAGACACACAGTCACCCCAGAAACAACAGAAGGCTTTTACTACAAAGTGACTTTTATAACTAAACAAGCCAAGTCCTTTTAATATGAAATACTGTACAATGTAAACACTTAATCTCAAGCCATTAATTATGAATATACTAAGATTCCACTTAATATGCACTGTGGACTTAATATTGTAATGTACAGTATATGTAGGCCATAACCTGCTTTAACATGCGTGTACCAGCAGGGGGCAGCAGAACATAGAGGACGCCATTGTGTGTCAAAGCCTCTAATGAAGATGTGTTGTACATTTCATTACATGTGTTACTTGAGATTTGGCTGATAGGATTATTCATGTAGTGATAATGCCCAGAAAATCATAACAGAAGTTTTTGTAATGGAAAAATAAAATGTTATATTCTAAAAAATATAAAGCATGTACAGTAAATGGTAAAACACATTGAAAATCACACTGAAACAAACATGAAATA